TTATGAACATGTTTCCGTTTTCTGTCCATCAGTGCCCTCATTAAAGCTGACATTGAAAGGTGGAGAAAAACTTGTAATTGGCATTTCCAAAAGGAATATTTGCAGTGACAGAGCCCTTCATGGGAGATAAACTGAAGAAATTGAAAGGCAGGTCCCCATGCTCCCTGGACACTCAGCTAGAGAGGGCGCTGGCAGTTTCTACTCCAGGGAAAGTGTTGCCTGTCCATCATGAATTCTCGCCCTGGGTGAACTTCCACAGCATGGAGCACCCCGTCAGGACCTCATCATCCTCCCGTAATATTTCATCTCCAGTTATTTGACCTCTGACGGTGCCAAACTTTTATAGTCTGGTGTGGCTTTTCTACTTGCTGACTGTTCTTGCTTCTACCAGGCCAGGCTTCTTTTGAGTAGGGCAGGCTCGAACATGCTTCCATGTGTGTCTGAGGAGTAGGCGTCTATAGCAGGCTGCGGTGGCTGGGACTTAGCTGGAGGGGGGAGGAGGGGTGTCACAGGTGCTGCCCAGAAACAGTGGCCCCAAAGCCCCAGCGTGACTTGGTCCCTGAGGCAGTTGTGCAGCCTGCTAAGTGGGACATTGAGTCAGCAGGAAAAGGGATATGATTAAAGAGGCCCCGCGCCTGGGTCTCCTGATTGCTATCTCAGCCTGCCTCCCCCACCACTTCCAGCAGTAGGGTTTTACTTCAGGAAAGTTCTCCGTGAACATACAAGTGCCATTAGTCTACCGTAGGCAGCTTAGACTAATTTCAATTACGTAAGGAAATGCAATTATAAATGTTCAAACCCATCTCAGTCTATTTTCTGCAGGTAGTGGTGAAGAACATGGGCTCTACACCTGCAGTTCATTCTCCGCCCAGCACCCCCCTCCCAGGGCCTGGGACAGGGTGCCAGGGACGTGACAGGTGCTTAGTAACTACTGCTTCCAGGGAGGAGTGAAGGAGCTTTGAAGTCAGATTGCTTGGGTTTCAATTCCATCTCTAACACATACCAGTTGTGCATTCTTGGAAAGTTACTTTTGCTGGCTGAGTTCCATCTCTTATAAAAGAAGGATGAGAAGGAGGCACAGGCCTGGCCCCCACTGTGCTCTTGATATCTGATATTGCTGCTAACTGTGCTTAGTGCCTACCCTTTCCTCAAGACACAGACCTGCCCTCTGTAATTAGCGTGGGCAAAGAGTGGAGACGGCTATTGGGGGATATTTTTAACTTTACTTTTATTTCATGTTGCCCCCTTTTTTTTTTTTGAGAACCAGTTTGACTAAATGGTTACCTGCCCCAGTCCCATACCTTCTGAAATGACTGAATTTAGATTGCTTGCTACCTCCGCACAAATGATTTACTTAAAAAAAAAAGTTAATGAATTGCAAATGTTTCTGGTTTCTACCCACATGAATACAGCATGGTCCCAAGCAGACTTCCACTGTCCCTCATTGTGGTCCACACAGAGAAATGATAAAATGCATTTAGACCTGAAAAGACTGTCCTTTTCCAAGTCGCTGGAATTACGACTGGCTTCCTTCCCACCTATACCCACTGCCAAATGGATCAAATTAAATGTCCTTACTGCCCTTTTCACTTCTTTCTGACAGAAAACTTAACACAGTCAACCTTCGAGTTCTTCCGTACACAAGTGTTAAATTCTTTATACTTATTAATCACTACAACCCCCATAAGGTAAACAGTTATTACACCCATTTGAAAATGAGGAAAATGTGGTTTGGGGAGATAAAATGACTTATCCAGGGTCGCCCATCCTTAAAGCAACTGAGCCCAATGACTCTCCTAACCACCACCATATACCGGGGCACTGCCTGGAGATGAATAACTCCCCCTTTAGTTATGCTGTGAGAAGCAAAGTCAGAGAGTGCTTAAACCACCCATGTTAACTCTTTATCCCTGAATTGAAAAGGTTCATTTGTTCAATGAAAAACAAAACATGCTAAGAATGTTGAGTGATTTCAGATCAGGTGTTCTACTTCTGTTTCTCACTTTAAAAATTGTTTTATACTTCCTAAGCTTATATATATGTTAGGATAAAATTTTAGGTATATGGTTTTGAATAAAAGAACATGTTCTCATATTTAAAAATATAGAACTTTCCATATATGTGTTTTACAGGCTGATTCCAGTGTAGAGTTAAATTACTAAAGTTGTTTATCCTATATAATAAAAGGCTAATATGCAAATCAACCAGTTGCTGTGATGCTCACCAGCCACCAGGGGGGCAGACGCTCAACGCAGGAGCTGCCCCCTGGTGGTCAGTGCGTTCCCACAGAGGAAGCACCACTCACCCAGAAGCTGGCTCATGGCTGGCAGTGGCAGGAGCCTCTCCCGCCTCCATGGCAGCACTAAGGGTGTCCAACTGCTGGCTTAGGCCCACTCCCCACATCCGTCAGACATCCCCCGAGGGCTCCCAGACTGCGAGAGGGCGCAGGCCAAGATGAGGGACACCCCCACCCCCGAGTGCATGAATTTCGTGCACTGGGCCTCTAGTAGATAATAAAAACCATAATATGAAAGGGTTACCCAATGTATTGCATTGTTGGATGTAATATTTAAATACATAGAAATATTTGGTATTTCATATTTTTCTCCAAGAACTTGCTTACTTGGGAAAAGAAACCTTTCTGAAGATATATCCATTTTTGTACTTAGTAATAGTCCCTAGACCTACTGTTCACAACATGGTTTTACCTACATAAATTAAACTTGTAAATGGTAAAGACTGAACAATGAGTGAGCTCCTAAAGATATTTAGCAGTCAGAATTGAAACTGAATTCTTTCCTATAGCTAATCATTAGAACCTGTCAAATATTTACATTTTAGAAATAATTTCTTATTCTGTAAACCAAAAATATGCTTCTACCACATATATGCAGTGTGATTGCATTCATGCAAATTTAGAATAGTAATACTATAATACAAGATATTTATAATATCATACCATGTAAGCAATCTGAAGTAATGGAAAAAAATTTTTAAATTTTTTCTAATTGTACAATTACAGTTGACATTAAATATTCTGTTCGTTTCAGGTATACAGCATAGTTAGACATTTCTATAATTTACGAAGTATTTCCCCCTATAAGTCTAGTACCCACCTGGCACCATACGTAGTTATTATAATGTTATTGTCTATATTCCCTGTGCTGCACTTTACATCCCTGTGACTATTTTGTAACTGCCAATTTGTACTTCTTAATCCCTTCACCTTGAAAACACTTTTTAAATGATCATGAATGACATAATGCCAAGGTTGGGCCAAGTGAGCGGGACCCTGTGAGTAAGCTGTTGCTACACACTTCAGCTGGCCAGGCAGAAATGCTTGTCTTCCTTTCTCTATTGAACTACACACGGCCTTCAACATGTATCCCTTGTCCCACTTGCCATTAGCTGAGGAACATGTTTGGTGCCCTGAAAAGAAACTCATTCTAAATCGTGCGGATTTAACAGAAAGAAACTCTTTTGGGTCTGTGAGAAAGTCTGTCTGCTGCGGCGTTTCCCGGGCCGTCTGACTGTCTGGAGAGGGGAGAGAGAGTCTTGCCACGAAATATTTCCCCAGTCCTTTTGAAACCAGGTCTCCCCTGTTTACCTACCATGTTTTTAAAATAAATAGGAAAAATCATTGTTATTACTGCTGCTCCTAACTCTACAGAAGAGCATATCTCCTTTTCAACTAAATGAATGGCAGGTCAAAGACTTTGGGAAGTAAGAGTGACCTCAAGCAGATGGGTATTTGGCATAATTTTGGTTTCGTATCAAAATTCTGATATTTTGAGGCATGCATACCTGAAGGGTCATTTCAGCACCAAAGATTAAAATTGTTTTAATGATCATTTTTGACTGACTTCAATAATATTAGCTCAAAAGCTATGTATAAATAAGTAAATAATCTATATATATAAAAGCCTAATATGCAAAGTGTCCCCTCGAGACTTCGACCAACCGGGAGTTTGATCTCTCGCTATGACGTGCACTGACCACCAGGGGCGGCAGCTGGCAGCCATTAAGGACCCTACCCGTGCACGAATTTTGTGCACTGGGCCTCTAGTAATAATAATAACAATGAACCTTGAATAGTTTTCTCAAACATTACTCCTGTCAGAAATGAATTATATGGTACTGAATTCCATAATATAAGGGGAGGGGAAGCAGAGTTATGGGAAAATGCTGATCTCTTTCAATAATACAAATATCCCCACAGTGGGATTTCTTTTCCCCTGTCAGATTTCAGAAGGTCTGAACCCAGATTCGATTTGTAGTTTTACCTTAGGAAATGCAGTAATTTTGCTTCCTTGTTCTTTAGGATTATTTCTCTTGGTACTGATGAGCCTGAGCATGTCTGAGTTTATTTAAACCAGAGGCTCTGGGAGGTCTTGTGGAAATGGGCATTATATACTTAGCAAATAGAAAAGGCTTTATTTAAAACTCTCTACAGTCTTATTTAAACTGCCAAGCTAAAGCAGATAGGGGGAGCCCTTGGAGCCAATTAGCAATCCAGCGGCAGATTAATTATCCTGTTGCATCCGGATCTACCATAGAACTGACTTCGAATCCTCTAGTCTAAAGCCTTGGTCCCCGGCTGCTTGTCAGAAATGCAGGTTCTCAGGTCCCACCTGTCGAAGCAGATTCTGCATTTTACCAAGCTCCCCCGGGGACCGCAGTACGCATTAAAGTCTGAGACAGACTGATCTTAAAAAACCTTGCACCTAACCCAGAGACCGAGGGAAACGAGACTGTGCGAAAATGGAGAAAGAAGAGAATCGCAAGGAAGCGTTCCCATGTTTCCCTAACACGTTTCCTTTTCCTGTTTCGCGAGCGGTTTCGAAAAGCGGCGGTTGTCGTGGCATGCTTTCGATGTAAACCATCTCCCCTGCAGAATTTCTGTTCATGTTTCTTTTTCCGTTTCGGTGAACATGCCGTGCCTGCCTCGCCTGGCCCCTGTCGCTGCCTTCCTTGCTGACACGCTTGTCTCTCGTTTTCAGTCCTGACTTAGCTCTGCCCGAGGAGCCGCCACATTCCAGCTCGCAGTGCGCCCCACTCCACTGTCTCTCCAAGCCTCCCGACCCCTCCTCTGCAACTCCCGCGGACGAACATCTGGGGTGAACGTTTTGTAGCCACACCCAGGACACTGCCCAAGACCCAGCTGCTGTTTGCTTCTCGGTGGTTAGACGTTGTGGTGGGATTAATGCCCGTCACTTGGGAAGATGAAAGAAAGTTGAGAAGATTAACACAACGCCCAGACTCCCGAGTGATACAACGTATTATGGTTTCTCTAAGTCACAGATGAACTTCTGCAACGAAATGGCCACAGTTCAATGAAATAAAAACAAACAAACAAAGAACACAGGACACGTAGCTCAGACGACTGGCTTTATCTCAATAGCATAAGAGAGACCTAAGACCATGTAAAATACATATATTGTAAAATCATCCTTCCTCAAACGTCACATTCGGCTATAGAAATTGATTCCACTGTTTTTTTCACCATTGGTATTTATTTTGTGCTTTTATTTGCCACGTGGTTTATGTCTATAAAAATCATTTCTCTAAGGGGTGAACTTAATTCATTTATTTTTAAAGAAGTATCATTTGCTCCATTAAGTATGAGTTGCAATAGAGATTGAAATCTGGTATGGGCCAGACTGTGGACATTTTTCTTGCACAAAAATGATAAATGAGGTGCATCGGAATGTTAACAGTAACTGTATTTTGCTGCTACACTGATATTGTTTATGCACTTACTTTCTAATCAGCTCATTAACTGCTGGATTTTTTTTTAACTAGAAGTCTTCACTGGACATTAAGTAAATCTAAGAAAGAGACTATGTTATGATTCATTGACTTATTCAACTTTTGACGGCATCTTTAATTTTTTAAAATTGCAGATGAGTAGATGCACTGGTGCTGCTCCTTTGTGTGTATATGTGTGTGTGATGACGTTAAAGAAGGCTGAAAAACACGAGGGGGGAAATGGTGTGTTTATTTAATGACCAGAGTTTTTTTTTTTTACTTCTCCCAAATTCAGGGTCCTCCTATGAGTCTTTCCCACTGAAAGGTATCAAATACAAATGGGGGAAATATATACATAGATAGATGTAAGTTCGCCTTCAGTTAATGAATTTACCCAGAAAGTGTTCAAATAGTGATTAAAATTGTATGTGTTGTTGTTGTTAGTTTTTTCATAATGAATCTTCCTTGCCAAAAAAACAATAGATAATAAACCTTAGCTCATTGTCTACTTTTGACAAACACTCAGGTGCCTACAATCATATTATACATATTGAGATCATACATGTTCCTAGTTCATTTACAAATTCTGCTGGGTAACTTAGGACTTGGTTGAAGGCAGTAGATTTTCATGGCAAAATTTAGTTTGCACATAATCTGACACACAAGGAAAACAGCTAATTGGGCTGAAAGGTCTAACACTCTTGGGCTCCTTAACTATCAAGTGCTGCCCACACAATTGCTCCTAGCCCTGATTCCTTGTCTAGTCAGGTAGCCTTAACTTATTTACAGTCATAACGGTTTGACCTGTTCCTGTAACAGTATCTGTAACTTCTCTTTAAAACAAACACAATCCTCACTGTTAACACAGACGACGGTTAACAATACAGGGCTCTAATAATGAAGATCTCGTCAGAGCCACTCAGCCTATTGAGCGGGAGTGGGTGGAACATTGATGGAATGGTCCATCGAGGATGGCGGCCAGTCGGTAAGTCATAAAGCACAGTGCAGGAGCTTTCATCAGTCATGCACCTGTGAGGTTGTGGTCACTATTACCAAAGCAACCAAGAGGTTTGTGGTTTCTTATATAGGAGTGCTATTTTCAACAGTGTCGTTTATTATGCAACTTGAAGTCGTTAGAAACCTTCACCATACATAGAGATTCAGGTTAAAGAAACAGAAAAAGAGACAAATCTTCATAAAGTCTCGATCGTGGCAGCCTAGCCTTCTGTTTTTCCCCCAACTGCAATGGCCTTGCTGTTCCTGAACACCTTCTTCATTTTATTGGTGTTGTATCTGCCCTGTACCAGTATTAGTGAGACAGTGTGGATTGTATCAGAGTTCAATTAAAGGTAGCTTCTCCTCTCCACTGCTTTCTCTTTTTTCCTTTTTGTTCTTTCTTTTTCAAGTATTATGTGTGTGGACCTGAGAAGTGGTATAGCTGCAAAGCTGACTTTTAATAAAAACTGTTTTGCCTGGGGGAAAATACGCCAATCTAAAAAGTACCTCAGAACATCTTTCTGTATGGCCTCATCAGTTTTGTTGCTGGTGCCGGGAATTCAGCAGAAAGCATTGTCTCTGTATAACTATAGAGCAGCCATCCCACTGACGGTGCAGTATTGCATCGTTGCTCTCTTTCTTGGTATTTATGCCCCAGTGAAAGGCCGGGTCACAGACAACACTTTTTTTTCTTCCAATAGAAATTTTATCAAGTCTATATTAATTTTTTTCAGTTCCTTTTTATGAACAGAATGGGAAATATTTATTTTGAAACATCAATTCTATAAAAAGGTTCATTTTAGCAAAACTTTGCCAAGAAGGTATAGAAACTTGGAAATAAATTTCTAATTTTCAGCACAAAATTAGGTCGTAGTCCCCAAGCAGTAAGAGAGAATTCCATGTATTTACACTGTGGCATCATTTAGCATAGTTTGAACTCAGCCTCATCTATATTTATTTAAAATGAATAAATATGTGTAGCGCTGATAAAAAAAAATCAGTATACGTGTAAAGAATATCATGATTGAAATTGAAGTATTAGTGGAAAAAACAAAAACAAAAAAAAACCCTCAGTAAACCCACTTGAAGAGAGATGTGGGGGAAAAAGACTACAGAAATACAAAAATACCGTCTAATTATTTCAAACACAGTGGGCAAAGATTCAAAGTAACTAGCAAGTGTGGTTAGCAGAGTAACCAGGTAATTTTTAAAAAGTAAGCACAATTACCACACTGAAAAGGACAATATGCAGAAATGCTTTCTACTGAGGACTGTTTTTAGTTAAATGATAAAATAAAAAGGAGCGGTATCTTGTCTTTGGCCTGAGGGCCCAGGAGCATACAGGACCCTCAGATTAATCTTTCCAATCCTATCCCTTCCATCCAATTCTGTTTCAATAAGAGGAATTTGGGTAACTTTGAGAAATCAAAGTTATTAAGTAATTAAGAGAAGACCTATTCAGAAAGATTAAACTTTAGCCTAAGGAAGACGTAGACTATTGATCTGCAAGAAAATGTAACCAATGATAGATACCAGCTATCGACATTGTTATTAAGACTAGAATAAGAAAAACAGTCTTCAGTGTGAGGGATTTATATTAGCTCTAGGAAAGAGATTCTTAACAGTGGTAAATTAATATCAAAATTGATAATGATGATGATTTGTTTTTACAAAATTAAATATTTATTGTCCAGTAAGGATTAACTTAAGTGGTAAGATATCTTATGATGATGTATTAAAATTCTAGGATTTCATAATCCTATTAATCTTTTATTTTAGATTTAAAAATAAAGTATTCTGGTTAGCCATAAAATATTTTATTCCTTGAAAGTAGGATAGCAATCCTAATTTTTCCAAAATATTTGGTAAAAAATAAAACAAGATTGTTGGTATTTTTTCTTGCAGCTATATTTCATATCTTTAAAGTTATCCAGAATATAGTAATTTTACTATAAAAAGCCTCAATTGTCAGTCTGAAAAAAAACAAATGTCCTCAGGAATACTTTGGAAATAGAAGGTTCGCATTCCCTTAAGGGGGTAAATGCCTCTCAAACATTATCTTTTCTTAAAAGAGTCTTCAATCTACAACATTTGCTTTTCCCAGGCTTTGGAAAATATCCATGTACAGATAGTCCTTCTGTCTCAAACAAGCATGAAATGTCGATCAAATAAACCATAAATGTGGACATTTCCTGATACTCTGCATTAAATAAAATCCTCTGCAGTCTCAAATGGTAATTACAAAATGTAAAAACGAAAAATGAAATCTATTTTCTACTGTGGTAAGAATGGCAAGTTTAATGTATAATTGTTCTGTTCCATCAGCCAAAAGACATAAACTGTCTCTCAGAAAGGCACGTCAGGGGAAACATGGATTTCCAGGAAGCAACTGTGCTGGTTCAACCAAGGTTGCCACAAATGCACTGATGTTGCAGATATAAAGCAGGACTAGGTTCAAAAGGAACTCTTAGAGAAAAGTTTGCGATTTTAAATATTGCCCTATAACTTATCTGTTTATGAACCAGAGTGTTTTTAAAATAGTCCTTGTATTTAATATCACAAACTATGTTTCCACATAAAGAAAAGAACATAATTCTTCAAAAAGCTGTTGAACTGGTGTAGTGATAGGTAGTATAGTGAGTGCTGATATTGACATAATTTCCACCTTAAAATCAATTTCTGTGCACATACAAGACTAATCTAGCTTCTGAATGAACTTTTCCATTGTCTGTAATAATGCCTCCAGATGAATGGTGTCTGAAATTGAATTCAACTTATTTTAAATACCAGGTTAACTGCCATTGTTCCTGATGTATTTCATTTGTAACCTGATTCTATTATTTAACACCTGAAAGGTTTTCTCTAGACATCTCTTCTATAGTTTTTACTCAAAGTATAACTGAAAAAAGATATTTAGTATTACAATATGTTCCTCAATCAAGGATTTTCCAGAAATAATCTACTTACGAAGAAGAGCAGCAATGAACTGCCTTTAGTGTAAGGGTATGAGTGCATAAAAGTATGCCATGTAAAATGTTTGCATGAGATATTTCGCATCATGTAAGCTTTCCCATATTCGTAATATGAACAGTATAGAAGTCTTATTTCTTGTGATTTCTCCATTAGGAATGTAAGGAGATTGTTACCTATATCTGGTCTCCTTTCCATATTGGAATGCATGGCTCTAATCAGTATATTTTTATTCCTTTCCTCTGGAGTTATTTAAATTTTGTCCTCTTTAAACTGAAACCTGGATAAACTGCTGAGCCAGGTTATTTCTGCAATTGGAGTTTACTTGCTGTGTAACATTGGTTGAGAGCACATTCTGATTTTAACTTTTTTTCTTTCAGAATGAGTCTCTGATCATTACGATTGAAAACACTGAGAAGAAAATCTGTGTTCTAGTGTGACTATTTTTCTTTTTTCAAAGTCTTTTTAAAACAAAGATCAGAGAACTATAGAGAGAAATTCCATCATTTTGTTGACAAATCATTAGTCGATAATAATGGAGATATAGAATGAATCATTTTGTTGTTTGGGTTCATAGTATGATTGTGCACCAAAACTTAGAGAAAGTAAATGACTTTAACATCATTGCCACGACATTTTTAAACTGGATGGTTTGACTGTTAGAGTCAATTAAACAATTCTTTGAAAAACTTTTATGACATTTTTATAATCTACTCAGTGTTTTTATTTGCATGATTATGTATATGGGATGAACCGTACATGATTCTGCTAC